CAGACTGCTGGTCGGCCACCTCCTGCCATCGGCCCTGACAGAGTCGGATCGGTCTTTAAATATCTAGTATCTAATAGGTTTAGGACTGATTGTTTGTTGGCGTACTCCGTCATTTAGAGAACCGCGATTGGTGGTTCATGGCGCTTGTCACAAGCCGTTTGAGGCTTCTTCGGGGGGGTCACCTTGTGCATGATTGAAGGACTTCCTGCTGACCCAGGGTGTAGAAAGAACTTCGGGGTAGAGGCTTGTTTCGGACGTAATGGCTTACTTGGAGGATCATGGGACTTAGTAAGTAAGGTTATAAGTACCTTATTTGGGGTTATAAGTACAGTTACCCTAATTATAACCCTAGTTACTAAGTCCTATGATCCTTTAAGTAGGGCATAGGACGACTGCAGCAGCTTCGGGTCTGCCAAGGTCTGTGTAAGGCTTCCAATGTCTGCGACCTGCCCCAATTGTGTGCTGAAGTCTATGCGACCACAAAACCACAGCCCGAAATCCCAGTCTCTGGCCACGCTATTGGGTTGAGAGGTCGCACCTCATAGGTGCGGACGATGGCTTCCCTTGCCTGAGGGGCAGAAGCAGAAACTAAGGCTAGCCAAAGGAGTATCGCAGTTCTAGTACTCTAAGCACCGATACTGAACATGGAAGCCGTTTTCATCGTCATCGTCCCCACCCTGTGCGTTTGCAGGAGAACACCACCGTTACGCACCTCACACCTCCCCTTCTCGCAAGTTTGCATTGATAAGAATTTCAAGTAAGAGCTTTCAGTGTAGCATTGGTCTGCCGGTTTCTCCAACTTCGCCAATTCGAATTGCGCCTGGAACACATATTGAAAGGCTACTACTTTGTCCTGTGACTACTGTCATGCCATGTTCGGACCGTGACCCGATCCGAACAACCGTGCAACGAAACAAGACTCACTGCTGTCGCTGGCTGCTGAAGGGTTTACCATGCTGTCAGTACGGCTGAATAACAGGAGCGAGGTGCGAAGCACAAGTACCAAAGTACCTAGAACCCTAAGCCCTTAAACTCTTAAACCCTAGCCACGGTCCTCGGCCACGAGCTCGACAACGAAGGGTGTGGGAGCCTAGGTGCGCTTGCAGATGTCTCAGATTTCATGTGCTGGCAACTGTTGGGCTCAGCCTTCGTTCGGAATTCAGCCCTGGCGCTGCAATCTTACTATTTCTTCTTGGAAGCAGCTGCTCGGAACGAAAAGCTACAACGACGAGGAGTACCGATACCCCTTAGACAGGATTGCACATAGTTACTATTCAAGGATAGGAGCTGCAAGAAACACAAATGTGTTTCAGAATGCACGGGCCGCTAGTAGAAATCCCATGTACATGATCCTTCACTCCCGACATAAGATATACATTAGGTACGGCCCCCATACAGTAAGAGTCCATAATAGGGCTACTATTAAGGTCCTACTATATCTATATTATGAATATTATTCAACTATTACTGAGTGGGGGCGGTACCTAAGATATACTGCTTACACCTCAAGGAGGATCCTGCGTTTTCAGCAGCCCAATAGCCGGCGGTTGCTACACTTTCTGGACCCTTGCGGCATCCTGCACAAGAAATAAGCCGATGGGCTGTGGTGTGACCCCAACTCAAAACACCCCCCCCCCCCCGCCCCTACATGCACATGCTTCCAACATAATCTGAAACCCTGAATTCTGTACCCCGAACCCCTGTCTGGCAAACAGTATTAGAAAAGTTGCGAAGTCCCCCGACTGTGAACCTAGTCTAAGGTGCTGGCCACATCCCCTGCGCCGGTGAACTGCCCGGAAATGGAGAGCTCCTGAACGGAGGTCTGCTTGTCACCTTCTATCATCCAGATTCCAGCCTGGACTCTGACTTAGAACCCCCTCATGAAAGCTTAGAGCGGAATCCTCCTGCTACTCATCATGGGTCTCGTCACGTTGGACACAGCTTGGGCTGGCAGTCTTACCCCGAGCTGTGATCTCAAAACAAAACTCTACTGCAGGATGTGCCTCTCTGCGCTTCGAGCCCATCACGCACCTTTTACTGCAGCCAGAGCCCTGAACGGTCTTGAATTGAACATAGAATGATTCCAACCCCGCCCAAAATCCCTAGCTTTCGTTATTCTTCTGTTGCAATAGCTTGTGGAACTACTTTGTCTCACAGAAAGCCCGGATCCCTCGCAACAAAAAGCCGGAATAACTAGAATAGGGCTCGGGGGTATTATGTTGTGGTTTGACGCAATCGGAGCTATGAGGGCAGGTAGAATCACTACCGATTCAAACGCCCAATAGTGCATGGCCTCCAGTGCCCGATGCAGGTTCGTCAGTGGAGGCAGCTGGTCGACCACCACCTGCCGGCAGTGCCCAACGCACTCAGCAAGTGCTGATGGCTTCTAAGGCTCAAAACAAGGTAAATGCGAACTTGCGACAGCGGGTGTAACGGAAGGAGACTGAACATAAAAAGGAAACACTAACGGTAGCAGTAGTAATGGAGTTGTGACTATGCTACATTTTGCCAAAACTATAATGTAAGGCTGATTGAACATACTCCAAGACGACTATGAAGGGAGGTCAAAACTTGCACAGTGCTCATCACCACAATACCAGACTTGCCCTTGGAAGTGAAGTTGCGCATCTGGAGTTTCGGGGTGTGGGTTCAAGCTTCTCTTTGCTTGGAGACCAAGAATACCGTCAACAAATTCAATACCAAGACCACTTGCAGCTCTGAGATGTGAGGCTTCTGAGTGAGGCTTAGTAGAGGCTTTTGCCCTATGCTTACTGCGGATAAGGAGTCGCTCGACCAGCACGGCCAATGCTCAAACGACAAGCCATGCGAGGCCCCAACCGGGTGCACAAAAGAAACACTTCAATGAAGCCCAAGGTTTGGGGCGAGGGTTGACTCGGCCCAAACTCGCTGGGTGCCTCGTTGATATATCTCCTCAACCGCAGGAGGTTTTCCCGCCGGAAGGAAGTCAACTCATAGCGGGACCGGCACCTGAGGCTTTAGGGTTTTAGCGCCCGGCTCAGGGAACAACACTTCATCCACTATACTCTGTCCAACATTCCGCATCCTCTAATCCTTCAAGCCTTCGCCTTCGATCCCAACCCTTCTTCATTCACTAGGATGCCCAGTAACCTAGGAGTAAAAGGGCTCCCTTTTTTGGGATTGAGTAACTTTATAAGGAACCGAGAACTACAAAAGGGAATAAGGGTACTACTGGGCATCCTAGTTTAGAACAGTAATAGGAACGATAAGGGGATAACATCACGAACGAGTCCGACCCCCGTATTCGGGCTTCTTCCTGGGCTCCTGCAAGGGCTCGTATACATGCAAGGAGGAATTCAGAGGAACAGTTTTGGCAATTATCCAGGCTTCTATGTCTAAACTCTTAAAAGTACCTCTGATAGCAACTCCTTCAAGCTTCTATGTTCGGTCCAGTACTCATGATAGAAACTCTCATAGAAACCCGTAAAAAGGACCTCAAAGCCTCTGTGTTCGATTTTCATGGCAACTCCGAGCATGGAACTCGGCATCCATCACTAAGTTGTAAATGGAGAGCCAGACCTGCCCAAGAAGGGTTTAGGGTGGGACGGAGGAGCGCTTCGGTTTGAGATGCGACAGTTTAGGGGATTAGGGTATGGGATTTCCAGAGAAACTCATATTCGAGCTCGCTTTGTGGGTTTCGTGCTTTGGTTTTGTTCTTGTCCTGGCGTTGTGTTGCTTCTGGTACTGGTACACGCTAGTTGCTCCTGGGGGTTCGGCTCCTGGGTCTCGAGCAAAGGGGTTGGGCAATGCTTGAGCAGGCCGAAATCCGCGTTTCAGACCCCGAAGCTGCGCAACTGCTTGGCGAAACTCGGTCTGGTGCTCCGGGGCTTATGGGGAACTCTTGGGTCCAGGGCTGAGTGCAGCGACCTGAGAATCCTGAAGCAATGAAGCCGGGAGAACTGCAGATAATGAAGCTCCATGCACTACCCTTAAAGCCATAAGAGACCCGTATAGCAACCCTTATGTGAACCTTATAGTAACAGAAACATTTGCAGCAACCCTAAACCGCTGTCAATTCTGGGGGAACGCCTGCGACTGCAGCTTCGGCAGGCGACCCTCGTCGTCTGCCTGGATGAGGCTTTGCTGGTACTGGAATTCAAACAACAAAACCAGGCGGTGGTGATGGCAGCAGTCGTGTAGCAGTAGGAGTAGAAGTAGGAGTAGGTGAGTAGGAGTGGGACTAGGAGTAGCAGTAGCAGTAGCACCAGCAGCAGCAGCAGGAGAAGCAGCAGCAACGGGTGCAGGGGTAGGAGTCGTAGGAGCATTTTCGCGGTTACTGCTAGCGTGCTACTGTGCGGGGCGGGCAATTTGCCCTTGCCGGCAGGGTCCGTTTAGGCTTCGAGCCGCTATGCCTCCACGACTTGCCACTTGTGCTCTTCGAACTTCTCTATCCTTCCGTTGATGCCTTGGCAGAGTGAAGCACTCGAACTTTCAGGGGCTGGCAGTTGCAGATACTATCCTGGTTGCAGCCGCTGATGTTGAACATGGCATGTGCATGATCCCAAGGCCCAAGACTCAAGAAAAGAAGGACAGTGGGACTTCACCGACAAAACTGAAAACTTCGAACCCAATCTGCACCCTCCCCGACTCATCCGGCCCATCCCAGGCTCTGCTCAGGCATCGGCGATTTCTCCGGACCCAAGGAGCCTGGCCGTCGGGATCTTGTTTTGCTTCTTATGGATCGAAGATGCTTCAACTCTTGAATCGTAGCGCAGCATTGCTCTTCATTCCCTGAATCGGGATGCTTTTGCCCGGATCAGATCAGGGAAAGACTGGACCGAGTGGAAGGCGGTAGACTCAAAAGTGGGCGGGCCGAGTCCTGCGAACCCTAGTTACCAGCAGGATGGCACTGCGCATCCTAGACTACTTGTTCTTTTCGTTTCTTTTTACCACGCTCACCGCAGCTTTCTTCCAGAAGGAACTCAATGAACTGAAAAGCCAGACCCTAAATCAACACTCTCTCACAAGCTACCGGCCTTCTCCATGAGAGGGACCAGAAGCAGCAGAATCTCAGCACGGACGCCACAGGCTCAAGCTTCGCACTAGGAGCCCACAGGGCTGTCAAGACGGAAGATGGGCCGACGACCATCTGAATCTTCGAACCGAAAACGTGACCCGTTTTTAGGTGTTAGGCGGATTTTATTTGGGAGCTCTTCTTCAGCTTGCGTCCTGCTTCGAAGCACTATATGCCGCGACTGTCATGTTATCGAGCGATGCCGACGTACGTGTGAAGGAGCTACGAACATCAGCAGCTGACTTCGTTTCAGACAGCTACATACCCATCTCCACACCAACTTTTGAGGCATGCACCAAACCCGACAATCATGCTTCAAGTGTTTTGCAGTTGGCACGTGGCTCCTGGCGTAGGCGAGGCTGAGGTCCGGGCATCGTGGGTTTCCAGCAGGCGTGTCGTGACCGCAAGGGGCACTGCCACACGATGATCGGTGAGGAAGCGGATGATGGAGATCACGCACATGCAAATCTGGCAGCAAAAGCTGGGCCAAGAACAAGAACAAGAACACATTTGGGATGCTTTCAGGAAGGCTCGGGCTGCAGATCCTTCATGAGGGATCCTCAACATGGCTTGTAGGTCCTGGTCGGTCGTTGGCTGGCACACAATGCTGTAATCTCGTCAATTAACTCATCCCTGGAAGGCTGCTGCTAGAGCATCATGGAATCACGGCTGCCCACAGTGTCTCAGAACACTGACACTGGCCACCTGAAACTCGCATTCGACGAACTGCTCATCCAACATCCGCACGTTGTCCCATTCCGTGCACTCCTCCGAACCAAGTTTCGAAACACTAAGCTTCAAGCTGCAAGGCTCCACAGTGACGCCCTCCTACATGATTGTAGCAAGCCGGCAAAACTACCCACTGTCCTTGGCAGAGGCGACTTGTCGAACGAGCTCGTCGTTGGGTGTGCAGACTAAGTACCTCTTTGAAAACATGCTGGGAGACTGGAAGTGGCTTACCACAAGGACTCCACACACTTTCCACACACAAACACTTCCACCTCAAACCCCTGGACTGCAATAATCAACGGCTTCTCATCGGCCTCAGCTTCCGGACACAGTAGTCAACCAAGTCGACGAGAGCATCCCCAGCCTGTGTCAAGGGGCTGTAGCCGTGCATCTTTTGTTGCTGTTGCTGCCGTTATTGCGGAGCGACCGCGGACGCTGAACGCTGCACCTACAGCCCTCGGAAGTATAATATATTACGACTGCACATGCGGCTGCCTGTCTTGACTCCCTAAGTCACATGACGACTCAATCGTACAGTAAGAAGGCACTCAAGCTTTATGGTGCAAGGCAGTCTCAGTAAGCTAAACAATGCCGAGAGCCTCAAGACATCCAAGCGCCCAAATCGCCCTGATTTCCACGCTGCAACCACAGACCTGATCTTGAAACCTTCATGTGTAAGCATGAAGCGAAACACAGAGCCTCCTCACAGCTGGTGCGGTGGTAAAGGCAGACCTCTAGCAGGTTGGCGACCGACGCCTGGCTTCGGCAGGATTTTCCTTCCTTTCGGCTTGGTTCAATGAAAGCGCGCGGGGCAGCCCCATAACCACAACTCAACTACAACCTCAGTCATATGTAACTGTAACAGTGGTAAGGCCCTGGAAATGAAGGCGACAATGATGAGAGTGATGCCAGTTATTACTCGAGGTGAGTGCCCTGCTCCTCAACGAAACCACCTCTGAGCGTGCTCGTCAGCATCCTACATTATCACGCACCACGCATTTCCGACCGAATTCTCGGAGGCATGCGGGATGCAGAGTGCGAGAGGAGTTGAATTTGAAAGTGCCGGCAGTAAGTTGGCTGTGGACGGTGTCGTTGTGCAGTCATGTCAGCACTGGTGTGCTGAAGCAGTAGTGAAGCAAAGCTTTCCGTTTCTAGCGGGTGGTTGCGCAATCCCCGAAAGTCATAGCCATGTCTGCGAACTACCGGGGGAAGAAGTATAGGCTTTTTTGTTTCAAAATGTTCCTGAGGGAACAGGTCCAAACAAAAAGCAATAAAGTGTAGTACTCCAGAACCCATACCTTCGATTCAGGCCCGGAGTGTGGCCACAGAAGGCCTACTCTCTGCACCCAGAAAGTCCAAAACATCAGCATCGAACACCAAAAGCCCGGTCCCAGGCCCGAAATGCCGCAAAAAGGCACCAAAAGACCATAAACTTCTAAAGGCCCTGAACGCCTCGTGGTACACTGGAATGTACGTTCGGAGTGAGCTGAACTTCGCAATCTTGGCCTGCACCGACCGACGACAGATGGGGCTCTGCTTTCGGGAATACACCTGACGTAAGACCCCACTTTCGTGATCAGGTTGGAGTACCTAGGTCGACAGAAAATTGGAAACTGAGTATGTAGGGCTTGAAACAGTTTAATTAGGCTTCTAACTACCATTATCTTGCTTATAGCCCTACTTGCTAAGTCGACCCTTTAAGTACTCCTATTCATTAAAGGCTCTGACATGGTTTTATAAGGTTTCCGGGAAGTCCGCGATCTTGCTGGGTGCTCTAGGGTCGGGCCAAAGGGTTGCGGAGTTGGATCTCTCGTTTTGGAAGTCTTAAACTGAAGATCCCTCCTTGGAGTGTCCAGGCTACTGCAGGGACTAGTATTAGAAAAGGGTTGCTGCGAATACTATGCGACAAAAAAATCAAGGAACCCGAAGGAGCAAGACTGTTACAGGGTTTCAGGCTGAGGGCTTGGGGGGTTTCGACACAGCTTTGAGGAATCTTCTTCTGCTGATACTGTTGGATAAGCATTCCAAGCTCTAAGCCTACACGGACCACGAGCCAGCTTCACTACACCCCCAGCAACATTCTTCAACCCTAAACCGTTGAACTATAACTCTACCAACGATACAAAATCCGAAATCGAAACTCAGCACTAACAAGCGCACAGCCTTGATAAGCGGCCAAATGCGTTCTTTCCATACCTGGTCGTCTCACCACGGACAATGGATTGGAGTTTCGGGCTTCGGCTGTTGAGCAGTGCTGTTCACTCTGCGCTTCAAGGGGCTTACGTTCTGTCCGCCCATTCCGTGTCACTGTAGAGAGAGCAGGCCAGTGGGTCTCCAGGGTTATTCGCGCTTGATCCCATTCTGGTCCAGACGCGTCCAGCACGCCACTAGTACTTGAAAAGGATCAGAGGACGGAGCAAGTAGGGCTACACGTAGCCCGTGATCCTTGAAGTTAGATGACCCTCTACAATGATATACAACCCAACAAACAACCCTGTAAGACCCTGTAGGGCCCACCTACTGCGAACCTGCTACGAAAGCTAGGTGCTGAACTCCGAAAGCTGGAAGTCTTAAGAGCGTGGGTTTGGGGTTGAGGGCTAGGGTGTTAGGGCTTTCAGGGTGTTCAGGCTGGCTTTTGAGCTTAAGAGTTTTAGGGTGAAGGGTTGTGAGGGGATACGCGCTCAATGATTGGAATGGGGCTTTTGGGGGTCTCGTACCAGAAGTCTAGAATAAGGAGCAGTAGTGCTATGCATCTAGTAGGCTTCTAACTTTCGGGATGCCACCCTGGGATGTACAGCCTTAAAGCCCTGCGACCTCGATGAGCATGAGGTCGTAGATCAGGGCAGGCACCTCGTGTCATGGCGACCCTGAGGGGGGTAGGTGGCCTTAATACCCATAATAACTTCTTAAGGAAGTATAGTCCCCCAAGGGTCCGTATAATCGTGGCAGCTCCGGATCTCGGGGCCTTTCGGGGTTTTCAGAAGATCCGGGGTTCCTTTTCCAGAGGTCCTTACAGTAGGGATACTGCACTTGTCTTTCGGGCTTGAGGATTCTATACCAGGATCCCCTACTTCTGAAACTTGGGCTTTTTTGAGGTTGGGCCGGTGCGAAGATTTGTCTGTGGGGTTTCAAGGATCCCATTGGCTTCTCAAGGGCGGTTTGAAGTTCAAGGCTTGTTTCTGCTGACCCGCGAAAATCGCTTCGCGCGAGAACCCAAACTCAACCCTGAACTTTCAACCTGGGTGTACTTGGAGGTTCATGGGTAGTTATAAGTGGCGTTGTAAGTCCCCTAATGATGTGGGTTATAATTCTGGATACACTGCTTACAACCGCACTTAGAACTACCCATGAACCTCCCAGTAGGCGGGGTGAAACTGCACGGCTCGACTCTGGGATCACTATGCTGAGATCTGATTCTTTTCAGGCCTATAGGTGAAAGGGGGCTGGGGTTAAGGCCATCTTCCGAAACTGGCCTTCTCCTGTGTGTTGAACTGGTCGACCACAAACTCATCCAAGCCCTCTTTGGCCTCTGAGCACGCTACAACCATGCGCAAGACATACCATCGTGACATATACATCACAGGAACAGTGTTGCCCACAACTACAAGGGCGAATCGTAGTCATGATAGCAGTAGCAGGCATGACGAGATATAAGTCAGACAACACCTGACAATGTCCAAGCTTTGGACAAGGCAGCAGCTTTCCATAAGTTCTGTTTGCCGCAACCGCTGTCGACACAACAGCAAGACATTGAAGCACAAATCCCCTGAAACAAACGCAAGTGAGACAGGTATCAACCGGTACATGGCTGCTTGTACCGCGTAGGCTCGTGGCTCAACCGACACATCCCTGAAAGCCCTCAGCCCTCAACCCGGTGAGCACCGCATCAGCCTCGAAGCCGATAATCTTCCACGCTCCCGAGGCCCGGAAAGCATGAGATCCCGTGGCGAACATAGAATTGAGACCTCTGAATGCATTCCCGATGAGAATTATTTGAACCTCTTTCCGACTAGAGTATCCATTCCCATTCCGGTTCCGCGAACGGATGCACTGAAGACCAAAGTGTCATCCAGATAACCAAATGCCCACCACTGTGTCATGCATCTTTTGCCCATTTTCAAGTTTCTGTAAACAAACAGCCGGTGCAAACCCAGAGCCTGGTTGTGCGCAGTCCAGTTCAACTTCTCCACCCGCTCGTGCTGAGTCAGCCAGCGCCTTTCTAGGGTGGCTGCCACTTTTTTTTTGGGGGGGGGGTTTGGGGGAGGCGGCTTGGGCTTGAGGATCCTCGGGCAGACGGGGGCTCCAGGGGTTTGGGGAGATGCCTTCAGGTTTCAGTGAACCCATCTGAGCCGGGGACGGATCGCCCACGCTCTCAAGCTTGAACTCCTGCGTGGTCCGGAGAAGCAAAGGAAGGCAGAAGGAAAGGTAGCTGGGAACATGCTGAAAGGATTTGGGGACTTGGTCAACCGGATCGTCCGAACCCTCAACCCTAGATCTTTTAAGAGCCCCCCGCACCCTGAGTTTCTTTACGAAACCTCAACCCCCCCTTTAAGAGCCCCTCAGAATCCTGAGTTTCTTTACGAAACCCCAAGCACCCTTTAAGACGCCCTTAGAAGCCTCAGCTTCTTTAAGGAACCCCCAACCACTTTTAAGCGCCCCTGAAAACCAGAAGTTTCTGCAAGAAACCTCAACCCCACTAAACCCTAGACCCCCTAAACCGCTTGAGAGCCCCTTCAGACCCTAAACCCTTTTAAGAACCCCTTCAAACCCTACACCCGTTTAAGCACCCTTTTAAACCCTAAAACTCCAAAATTCTGGATTTTTTTGATAACCTTTTAATTCCTTTTAAACCCTAAAACCACCAAATTCCAAAATTTTTTAAAAACCCGCAGAGGCATCCTGCAGGTCTTGCACGAAGTGCTCTACCTCGAAGGGCGTCAAGTCCTGGAGTCCAGCAGACAAGGATTTTTAGAGTTGTTTTAAGGTTTTTTTGGGGTTTAAAGGTTTAGGGCTTTTTAGGACTGTTTTGGCGTTTAAGGGCTTTTAGTGGTTTAGGGGGGTTTAGGGTTTCAGGGTTTGTGGGTGTTGATGGTTTGGTCCGGGAATCGAGGGTTTTATCTAGAGGCTTAGAGTTGGTCGGTACTGAATGTTCATAGGAAAGAATCTTTACGCTTTATCGGCCTTCTGCACTGTTCCTGGGTGTTCTTAGGTCCTTCAGGCTCCAAGATTGAGGCTTGGGGTTTGGCGGTCCAGGGGTTGTGTCCTAGGCTTTCGGCTTGTGGGATTTGGGAATGCTGCTGCGGGTCCAGGGGTGTGCCTTCTTGAGTTTATTTTTCGGTTTGGGGCCTGGGAACCCGTCCCACAGAGTGGTCGCGACCACACGACAATGCTCTCAGTGCAGGGTTTGAGCCGAGAAGCCTGCACCCGAAAAGCCCAATAAAACAAACCTCAAACCGGCCCCAGCAACAAATATCGTAAACTCTGCATGGGTTCGTAAACCCCATGCAACAAACCTCTGCAGCCCTCTACACCAAAACTATTCCCCCCTTGAAGGAGCAATCATTGCCTCGAAGGTCGGCCAGACTTCGTCGTCCATCATGTCGGCCTGAGGGATGTAAGGAGAAAAAGGGCTGAAGGTGTTGGGTGTAAGCTGTAGGATTCAGGACTTAGTTTTGGGCTTCAGGTTTAAGATGTGTGCCCTGCTGCAGCCAAACAGACGACATTCTGAATTGAACGTAAAGCCTGTATGCACGACCGGGCGAAACTGGTGCGGATTTCGTCTGTCTGTTGCTGCAAAGTTCGATGATGTTAGTTAGACCCAAGCACAACAATCACCACTGACCCTTAAAGCTTGCAGCCTCTGCACTTTCTTTCCGTCATCGCCACCCAACCTTTCAACCCCAACTTCGTAAGATTGGTTCTCAACCAGAAGCTCTCCACTATGCGATAGTGCAGCAACCAGTAGGCACAATAGTCAACATGTGGTGCCATGGAATGGTAGACTATACTACACTCTACTATACTATACTCTGTACCATACTGAATATTATACTACATACTCTACTACACTCTGCAAGTTACAATCACTCTGAGGCCTCGGCTCCCGCCATAGCCCCCATGGCCCCGGTGGCTCCGAGGGACTCAGCGGAGTAGCCTCCCAGCCCCGGCTCGGCAGCACGCGGGGCAAAGCCGATCTCCTCGATGGCGGAGGAGATGCCTCGGGTGTCAGGAAACTCTTTAGGGTTTTGGGTTTAGGGCTTTAGGGTTTAGAATTAGGGTTAGGGGTTTAGGGATTAAGGGTTTAGGAAACTCATTAGAAGCTCACCCCAGGATTTCTTTCGGAAGAGCCCCACGTTAAGCCCACAACAACTCCAGAATCCTTTGCTCTCAGACTGTAAGACAAGCATCTCTTCTCTGCTCCATGTGATGGCCCGCCGATGTCCAGGCTGTCCTGATTCTAGTATCGTGGCATGAGGCTGTCTGCTTAAACCCTACTTAAAGGATCATGGACTTAGTAACTAAGGTTATAATTAGGGTAACTATACTTATAACCCCAATTTAGGTACTTATAACCCTCCTTACTAAGTCCCATGATCCTCCAAGTAGAAGTCCGAGCTTAGGAGCCCCTTCTCTTGACAAAGCAGCCTGGGACACACTTGACATGTACAGCATTAACAAGCAGCTAAGAAGCCTCGAGCACTCAACTCCTAAACCCTCGCTCCGCGACTGTAATTCCGAAACCTCCTTCCGTCAATTCTACACTATCATTTTGCCAACATCCCTCGGCCAAATTCCCGTAACCCGAAACCCTACTTAACCCCAAGATGCACGCTCCGACCCGAAAAAAGGTGTGGTATTCATAGCATTTTGCAATGGATTTGAGGCTCACACTTGCGCAGCCCCGCACCCAAAACGTTGGCTTTCATGGCTTTGGCGATTGTATGACTGAGGCATTTCTCATCATCGCTATGGCCGTTGTTGTTATCGTTATGGTCGTTGTTGCTATCCTTACCCTGTGTCCCAGACTTAGTTTTTTTGACATGGTTAGTTTGTCGTACATATTGAAGAAGCTCCCGAGACCCGGCCAGAAGCTCTTAAGCGAGTCGAGAGTCCAAGCCATCCAGGCCATCGAGCGTGTCCAGGCCATCAAGCGTGTCCAAACCTTCAAAGGGGAAAGGAGGGACCCTTAATAAGGACGCCTAGGTATATAACCTTAATCTAGCGAGGAGATACCCATTATATAGCCCATTATAGGGTAGGGATCCCCATTAAGGGTCCCTCCTTTTCCCCTTTGAAACCTGGAACGCGGGGTCGGGTTCCGACACTAGGGCTACAAAAGGGGTGCTGTGCTTTTAAACCGTGGAAAGTCGTGTGAACTAGAGTCAAGACTGCCAGTTTGTCCGATGCGACATGTTTCAATAATCAGGACCATAATTTCGAACATGATGTGGACTGCAGTAGCTGCATTGACCAGGCTCGCAGAAATAGCTATGAACATGACTACAGTGATCGTCAGTTGCCACCCTGGAGTACCGAAACCCAAGACAACTTGAACTCCTGATGTGACAAACTCCCAGCCCACCTCCCATGGCTTCTGGGTGAGCCCTTGGGCCGGGAACACAGCTCCACAACTATGTAGATAATATCGGAATGAATGCTGTGTTCGGTCCAAGCCAAGGCTGCTTGGGGCAGAGGTGTAGTTCATCCAAGGTGTTCCGGGCACGAAGAAGATGGTCGAGTGGAGCGTAGGCTGGGTTCGTCGAGGTCTGGTTGCTCGGTGCTACAACTCTCGACTTTGTACACGAGCTTCAACCGCTGAATCTTACACCTACGGTAGGCCCACATTATATACTACATAACACATTTTATGATACATACATATAAATATATATGTATATATATATATATAATATGTATACATATGCGTATTAGGTATGCGCAACATACCTCTGGTCTGTATCTCGGTAAGTCAACCGGATGCATCGAGCCGAAGGCCGGCGCAGCAAGGCAGGGGACAGTCCCAAAGTAACCCACTACTGCAAAGTTCGATTCTCCTAAGCCTTCCGGAGCCTTGGTCCCTCCTTCTGCTAGGGTTTCGGGTTACGGGGATCGGGCCGAGGGATGTTGGCAACAGGATAATGTAGAATTGACGGAAGGAGGTTTTGGAATTGCTCCTTCTAGAACTTCTGCGCTGCTACTTTTCCTCCTTCTTCTGTTGCTGCTACTGCTGCTACGACGACTACGACGACGACCAACGACACGACGAAGACGACCTTGACGACTACTACTAAACGCTGATTCGCCTACGGTGCCTACATCATCCATTTCAGCACTAACAACAAGTACTCTTCTCCCCCCGCTACCACCGTAACATAACCCTAAACCCTGACCCTACTTGGAGGATCATGGGACTTAGTAAGTGAGGTTATAAGTACCTTAATTGGGGTTATAAGTATAGTTACCCTAATTATAAGCCTAGTTACTAAGTCCCATGATCCTTTAAGTAATTCTCTAGCCCCGCGTTCAGAAACACTCAGCTGCAGAAAGCAAACGCCAATTCGCCTCGATCTTCGAGTCTTTGATGCGGACCTGCCGAAACTTTCATAGACGATCGTCAGAAGGACTTTGGGGGTTGGGCTGTAGGGCCTGGGGTTCAGGGCAGTCGGGTTTCGGACTTCGTTATGAGAGAGTTTGACGTGTGCTCTGGGACTCGTCGGGTTTTCGACGACTTGATGAAGCACGATAAATTCAATTTCCTACGAGAACTTGTGAAGACTATGCTGACTGTGTACGAGGCTTCAGCAACAGAGGGGTCTTGGTCTTTGCACAAGGGCTCATGGTCAGCGAACAGGTTTGGGTTTGTGTCATACTTCTTCCTCCCACAGCATTCCTGGAATCAATGGTATTCCATTTCGCGACGCCTGACCATGAAACCCTATACACCCATGCAGAAACCATGCTCAGGAAACACCTGGTCTTGGCTTTCAGGACTCACGGGTCCTGGCCTTGCAGACGAGGTGCGATTGTAGGCTTGGGTTGAACGATTTAGGGTCGTAGGCTTAGGCTTTGACGGTTTTAAGGTAGTCGGCTGGAGGTTCCAGGGTTAAAGGTTTAGGGCTTAAAGTTTCTGGAGGAACAGCTTTCTACCGTCCCTCTTGCTTTTGGCGACAGAACCCTTGCTGCGAGTACTGGCAATTTGGTCGGGACGTTGCTGATCGGGATGCAGATTTCGCAGCCCGAAACGCTGTGGACACCTGAACCTTATGCAGCTATGCAATGCAATAAGCGGCCGCTACTCTGAAGGCTCTATGCTTCAAGTTCCACTCTGCCGTCGTGGTAAGAATCTCGTGCAGTCGCCTGTATGGCGTTGAACTGTGTAGTGTGTCGACAAGACAACGCACACACATGCATATATCTAAAAAATCTCTCTGTGTGTGTCATCCTAAGCTGTGTGTATATATATATATATATATATATATATATTAACATTATGACAAACTAATACAGATGTAGTATACCTATATACGTATCATGTATGTATACATGTAAAATATGTCGACACGTCTCTAAATATATGGTTCCCCACCAGCTGCTCCAACTTCTTGATCTTTTCCGTCATGATCCCGACCTCGTGCCCAGCATCGGATGGAAGGCAGGGGACTAAAGTCAGTTGGATCGACTGTCCCGGTGGGGTTTCTGGCCCGAATTATGGCGGTCGGGAGCACAGGGTTCAGTGCACTCATCCGCAGCTATCAATGCTGCGTGACGAAATCCAACGGTGCAAAGGATTTAAGTTCTCCAACGGTTCAAACGCCTCGACACATGACGCGTGTTACATCAGGCACTGGTTTAAGTCGACATGCTATAGCCGTATATAGTCGAGCTCTGCAGCTGTGAAAACAGTGACGACCATTGCTCCCGGTGTGGTCTAGCCCCCAAAAACAGAAAGCAATAAATCAATCAACAAAGTAAGCACACAGCTCTATGTATGTATGAAGGTATGTATGTATGTATATATATATATATATGTGTATATATATATATATATGTATATAGTTTGTAGAAATCCTTTTGTACCATAAACTCCTGCAGTGCTTGGGCAGCTGCCATCTCTCGCAGCTCGGCTATCGCCTGCTCCTGCGAGCATCGGGCAACCCCCGTGCTTAAAGAGCAGCCACAGCCTACTTACTTCTACAGCCACCTTACTCATAAGCTTGAATACGTCCCGCCCATCATTTGAGTACGAAACGTCCGTGTTTATGGTTGAACTTGCAGATCAGGGCTTGCGGGTTAGAGTTCCTGGCATTTTACAATTTCCGAGGCCAAGGCCTGGAGCTTAATGTACTTCCTCGTGTACGGCTTAGGTCGTGAGTTAGACAATTCGACATCGTGGCCAATATGATTGAGTCCAGGCGCAAAGAAAAGGAAGAGCATGAGATGGTTTCCCACATCACTCCATTCCTCCCCATCCCACACCTAAACTTTCCATCCTAAACCCCGGAACGGCATCCTAGATCCTCCGGTCTGCAGAGACCCCAGTTCATGCACGAAAGGGAGGCTGTGGTACTCCAACCTTGCTTGATCCATAACCCTGCGGCAATGAACATCTGAAACGAGCACAGCCCTAAACCCCAGAGCCCTGAACTGCATAATCTTCGTCCTTCTCCAGGAGTAGTTCGGTATCCACCTCGAGCTGCATCCTGGCAGATGACATGTGCACGGAAAGCTCAGTCCAAACGCCCGTTTGAGCAAGGAGATCGGGAAGGTTTCCGAATGTGGTCTGCACGGGCTTTTCCGCAGCCCTTCCCTTCAACAAAGGTACACCACCAGTAGCCAACAGGGTCCAAACCTCCGAACTCCAACACCTACAACGACCGTTCGGAACTTTCAACGATCATGTTTCCCCCAAGCCCAAACGTTCCAGCTATGCGGCTTCTGCTATTAGCCCAACGGCTGCGAACCCTAGAATGTTCGAACACTGCAGATCCGCTTCGACCATCCGAAACGCCCACCTGCGAGACGAGAGCACAACACCAAGGAGCAAGCCAATTACTAAGTTAACCCACAAAAGCCTTGAAGGGCTCTCACCTTTAGGGGGTTTAAGAGTTTAAGACATATC